CACGAGTAGCCACTGATCTGGATTTTCTAGGTAGTGACCTCAGGAGTCAAACAGGTTTCGGTCAGTCCTAGTACGTCCGGACGACGAGAGACAACGCAGGGATCTAGATCGTCACGTTTGTTCATTAAACGACAAACATTTGTGAAGGCTACGCGCAGGCCGCGGTAGGAAGTGACGGACGCGCACGAAGCGCCATGGACCAGTTGATCTGGGTTCGGCGGACCCGGGGAACTACCCGAAAATTTATAATGTAATGATCGGTTTTCCCAGTATCATTCCGCCACCTCAACTCCAAGATAGCGGACTTCAGTTTCTCTTTGTCCTACGGATCCAAATCTGGACGAATATGGATCTTTAGACCTAGTAGCCCTCCGAGGCGGAATGGTATCAGCCTCGGATTCGCTTCACCCACAAACGTGGTCGGTAGAGGTCGGGACTTCTCCTCGCTCCAAGACGAGTGATTTGCTTCATTCACAACCCCTGTTCATTCACGTCGAGAAGCCTATCAAGCAGGCTCTGCAGAAAATCCACGCCCTGATCATAACGAGCCTGATGACTAGCATCCGTCGACTCAGGCGCGTGAAATATCATAAGGTTACAACGTCGCTGATATCTAACAGTTGTCTTCTCCTTTTTTCTTCGCTGCATTCTCCAGTGGACTTCATCGCCTGCGCTATCGCACACCGATATGTTAGTGTCCGTAGGACGCAACACAGGCACGCCAGCTGAGGCTCCAGCAACGGGTGGACATCGCTCTGGGGAGCCTTCAGCCGGTGGGCTCGTTCAAACATAGAGGTGCCTGGGTTTCCGCTTGCTTGGATGAACCCACGGAGTTCCTCCCTATGGAACGTTTCGCCCGTCTTGTAGGCTAGCGCGGCTTCTCGGCTGTTAGTAACTGCACAGTGGCTTGGCATTACGTGCACAATATTTGGACAAAGTCATACTGAATTTCACGCAATACCTCAAACTGATCTACAGACAAAGCAATACACGGAATGTGGAGATTCACACGACACATAAGGCATGAAACAGCATTGGCTCTATGTGCAACAATTTTTCAACAAGTGTCACAGAGAGCCAGCTTCGTTATTACGGATACCTTAGATGTGACGGTAAAGGTGATAAATGGAACGACAAGTACGCGATACAAATACCAGAGTGAATTATGTAGACACGATACTAATACACAACAAACAAATTCAGAATCGCAAAAGAAACTGATCTTGACAAAAATAAGCCCGATAAATCTGCGCTGCACAAAGTAATGAACGATGCCAACTGGTCTGTCAGAGTGAGAAAATCCGTCCGGCGATCGCTATCCGCAGTCGGAAATATGTAAATACCATCCGAGCGTTATACGCGCGTAGCTCGGGCAGATTGAACACTTATGGCAAGCTGTCGCCGCCCTTCCATAGCTACAGTAGTGTGAGAAAAAGATACCCGCTATCCCCTTTACTCTACAACTTCGCCATTGACAAAGTCACGGAGATCGCGTTCACAGGACCCGACTTAGGTGTGGAACTGCTTCCAGGAGAACGACTTCTTGACCTAGAATATGCTGACGATATTGCACTTATCAGCGACATTACCCAAACGCGTCAAGCTGCATTTGACAGATCAGCACTGACTGTCAGCCGTTTCGGGGTAGGCATTGCATCATCGAAGTGCAAAGCTTTCCTACAAGATTGGCAGGGATCGCCTCTTGCGCTGATCCTTGGTGGGGGATCAACTAGAACTCGTTCAAAAATTCAACTATCTGGGAAGTTGTAGCAGCACCGGTGGAAATGAACACGAGAACACGAACCCTATAGCAAAAGCTCGAAGCGCTTTTGATAATCTTCACTACCTATGGCACCGGCGCAACACCACTCTCCCTGAAGGGTAGAGCGTACAATGCAGCCATCCACTCAACTCTCCTTTAAGGCTGTGAAACCTGGCCCATTAGATCAGCAGACATAAAGAAGCTATTTAATCTTCGACCACCGGTGCCTTCGCATTTTGGCTCACATCTGCTGGAAACTCCGTGTGAGCAATCAGCGTGTTCGACACCTTGTTTATGACACAGGAAGAAGAAGCGAACCGCTCAGCACGGTTATTTCACGCACTAGACTCCGATGGCTGTGGCACGTGTTGCGCATGCCAGCCCACCGACTCCCGTGACGTGCGTTGTTTGCGCCCCGGGGGGTGTGGATGGAAGAAGAGGAGGGGTGGCCAAGCGAAAACTTGGTCGAGAGCAATGAAAGCCCTTACTTCGATATTGGCCTCGGTTGGAGCCTCTCAGCTCCCTGGTTGAGGTACGAAAGATGATGAATATGTTTGAATACACTTGCTGACATGGCTAAGAGTCGAGCTCAGTGGCGTTCGTGTTTTGAGTTTCTTTGTCTTTCGCCAGGCCTTTTAGTTTCCAGTTGAAATCGCGACCTCATTTCTTCGTACAATACAAACTTTGATTAATAACGTTTATTGCTGCATAGTAGGCGGCTGGTAGTTTTCCGGAACGTTGACCATCCGGTACTGGTAGCTCAGCTGCCGTGCAACTGTTGTGTATTTTCTTTTCCTATGTATCGCGGCACAGTAGGTGAGGTGTTTTTCACCTCAAGCTAAGGTGTATAATGATAATGATGATGGTGGATATTTGTCTATGGCTGGCCACGAGAAAACTGAAAGTCTAGAAGTGTGTTTAGGTTCCGCCGCCTCGGTAATACACGATTTGTGGCACTGGATCCAGCGCACTCCGATGTACGGATAACACTCGCCTAACTAAAACGAACAGTACCAAAACTGGCAAGATATAGCGGAATTCCACAGAGAGTCAAGAACCGAGTTTTGAAATGGGTGGTAAAAATCGGCGAACGGCGGTCGTGTTCCACCTTTAAAGACGATCCCTGGCGCTTGTATTCCAGGTCTGCTCAAGTCAAGTCAAGCCATTTGTACCCAAATGGGTGCATTACAGCAGTTTACATTAACAAGTGTAAATTTGCACAAAGGTTACCGTTAACAAGGCTAAGTTTACAAATGGGTAGAAAAATGATTAGAACGCACTGTCATAGATTGATCGAGCAACGATTCCAAAAGGCTGAACTAAATCCTCGAGATTTGTAGGTATTCGAAACGGAGAAGGTTACACTGAAACCTTTCTTCAGAATTTGTTTCAACTGAGGTAAAATTTCGTATCTAAGTATAATTTATCAGGATGCGTGCGCGATATCTCAGTATTTGTACTCATAAGTTCGATGGAGTAGAGGGTCTCAGCGACCTTAAAAGTTGATTGAACAAAATATCTGTCAGCTTAATCTTGCAAAACTGATATATGCAGTAGATAATGTAAAACATGATGTTCGGCGAAAAAGGCAACGGCCGATTTAAAAGCCCCGCTTGTTCAGCTGAGTCTATCACATGTGAAAAGGTGCTATCCATGGCGGACTGTTTGGGAAGAGACACCGAATTCTCTTCAAATTCCTGTAAGAAAGACGTTGAGGAAACATTTGCCTGAACAATAACGATTGGTAGGTCTGATATGAGTAGCTCCAAGGTGCTTATAAACAACCGCTTAAACTAGTTCAAATGAGAACGATAGCTGTCCCACAACGTTCACGTGTCCGTACTTTCGAGGTGACGGATGGATTATGGGTAGTCAAATTATTCAGATTGATCTGTCAGTAGAGCTTTGTGATTGACAGGAGTTGGTAACAAGAGCTTGGCTTCAGAGGAACCAAAGAATAAACTCCAATGTTAGGAGAGAAAAAAGATCGGAGCAATTTAGTGAGCTATAATTCGAAAAGTCTACCGATCATTTGAGGGGACATTTGGAAGCCCCCGTTGTGTGAGTGGATTGCGACGTGCGACCTCAAAATGGACCGTGATTTGCATGGAAGTGAACCTTGGGTCACGTCGATCACTGGGGCCGTAAATGAAGTAGATGGAAATCGGGTGTTGCTCGCCTGGAAACATTGCGCTCCACGACTGGTTTCGAAACTGGTTGTTATCTTCAGTCAGAGATAGCGGGCACTCGGGCAGGTAAAACACAATTTCCATCTGATTCAGCAGTTACAATCCCAGTGACCAAGGTTCACTTCGACGCGAATCACGGTCCATGTCTAGATTGTGCGTTGCTATCCATTTACAAAACCAGTGTTAAAAATGAAACCTCTACTCAATCGTTTAACCGTGGTGACAAGCAATGCATGCCGCGATGCGGTGACTTAGGAGTAAACGCTTCGGCGGACATCCCAAAGGTGCCGGGGAGTTCAAGTGCCTACTACCATAAATTTCCATTTTTACTTTGCCTTTATATAATGAGAGCAAACAAGGTTGAAACCAGTCGTGGAGTGCAACGTTTTCGAGCGGATAACACCCGAAATATTCATCTGATTCACCGATCACATTTTGCACTCCCCCACATGAGGGGTGAGCTATCGTTCGGGTGAAAGGTATGCGCTCGTCAGTGGAAGGAGTGTGTCAATGCTCGGCACAGAATTCAATGGACAATCGGGAGCCGATGTGCGCACTGTTTACGGCCGTGAGTTTGACTCAGAACTATAAGCACCGGATAGCGACTACGGTAAAGCCATTAACCGACTCCGTGATGCACATTCCACAACGGCTAAATCATTTACTTACAACGACCCGTTACGCAAGTTGAAGTAGACAACACTAAGAGAGTAAGGGATTTCAATAATGTCCAGCTGACAGAAAAGCAAACTAGGAGGATCGTGGTGTCTGTTTGTGTGCATATAGTTCAAACTCAATGATCATTTGCGATCAATGTAGTGCTACTTCTTCATATCTTTATACACCAATAGAAAAACGCAGACTCCAAGCAATTAAACACTCCATCCTGGTTCCTACGTTCATGAGGACGGATGCAAGAGGAAATGGGAAGAGACAGTACGCTAGGCCAACGCACCTGGGTGACAGCGATTGCTGAATGATGAACAGAGGGATTCATATATGGAAGAGTGTACTTTAAGAACAGCACGAATTCGGGGTGGTTGACTAACCGATTTCTGTGAGAAAGTCGGCCATCGCCGCGCAGTACGTGGTTTTCCCGCTTCCAGGCGGTCCAATGACTAGCTGACCGTACAGCTTCAATCCTGTATGTGCGTGCATTTCGGGTTGTCGCGCAAACTGTAAGAGGATACGAAGTAAAATTTGGATGCATGGAACATTGATCGAGGAAACCATTAATGTTGTATTGTTTCGGTCGGAAGAGCGAACCGAATCCCTCAAAAACAAAAACCCAGGAAGTCCACCGTGTTGGAAACTTCAAGTAAGCTATAGAGAACAAATAAAATGATAACACTACCGTACGCCAGTGTCTGCCCATGAAACAAGCGAATAGCTGAAAGAGCCCATTTGGGTTCATTACCCCTGACTGTTTAAGTACGGAAAGGAAAGCATAAGCTTACTAGGACTTCCTCGTGCCGGAGGTGCAAGAAAAACTATAAAGGTAACTAAGATTCACAAATAGCTGACGACACTTTTTACTTGGTGAAGTATGGCGTGAACAAGGGGAGCCTATGAAGCAAAGCAGACGTGATCTGAGTGAGATGTGACACTACAGTTTGTAAGTTCGACGTCCGCGTTATAAAACCTCACTGCCATGAATTGTCTGTGGTGGCAGGAAAGTACACCAACTGTTCATTGGTTACAAAATACTTTGTGGAAACTTTCCGAAACATCCGCGGTCGACCGTGGCTTCGTGTGTATCAACGAAGAAAACACGTATTTTAAAAGTTCGAAGGCTGCGACTGACCGATATTCAGCAAAACCCGATAGGACTAAGCCAGGTTGTTGTGTTGAACAAGTGCTCTGTTCCACCAGCTCACCGACCGTTTTAGCTATCTTCTAGTCGCATTGTACTCGCCACTTTCAGGGACTGTTCCTCCGTATTCAAACAGGTTCGTATACTCCATGAATAGCAAGTGTACGGTAAAGTAATGACACAGTGTACCGCAAGCAGAAGGCGCAGTGCAATGCATGGAAATAAGAAGGATATTTCAGTGAAAGTCCATGAGTTAAGTGCGAGAACGGTGTCTATTTTACCCTATCCAACCATGATCTTCAATGGCTTCTCAGTTGCCAACCCAACAGTTTGATACGCTGCCAGGTTAAGTTTAAATTATTTGCAACGGCTATTCGAAATCTTCGAAGGCTGCATGTGACAGGACTCAAGTAGACCTTAATCGGTCTATGCAATCCCACACCCAAACTGGATTTGTTCCCCACTGCCTTGTGGGACAGACTATTGAGATAAACGCTCCGGATTGAGTCTCAGAAACGAATACCCATGTACCGCATTGTCTTCTGGCTCAGGGTATTGTGTCAAAGGCTCCGGGTGGAGTCCATCAGTCAAACCACCACGTACCCCACTACCTTGTAAGACTGTTGAGTCGTAGACTACGGAAGAGTCTCCTTGAACGAAATCCCATTCTCGGAATGAGCAGCGGGAGAGTATCATCGGTTTTCGCCAACAGTTCGACAATACTCCTTACAACTACTCTTCCTTTTTTATCCCCTCTGAACTCCCTTCTTCCTCGTCCATTGAGCAAGACTGCCACCGATCTCGTAGCTGTTACGACGGGGCACATCAAATCTGGAGTCCGTCGAACCTAGGGTGTTATTTCACACTGGTTCCTTTAACATCAGCGCTCTGGATCAGATCAGTCAATAGGCAGCACTAACACTCACTCAGTTGGAATTGATGTATGAATGTTCGGAATTTGTCAATAACGACTACGCTCTTCGCGTTTATGGAGATACTGAGTCAATGGCCCAAGGTACTTAAAGTCTTGGCATTACCATCAGCAAACATGCTGAATGCAATCTACTCGACGACTGGATACCAGTGAACAGCCGCATGTGTGCGGTTCGAATTCGAATCGCCTTTCGCGGCTTCCGTTTATACTACTACTAACTGCAATTCGGTAAATAGCAAAGTCGATTTCTATTATGAACTCTCATCCCTTCTCAGTAGGGCAAAAATACTGATACCGTGATTGCTGCTGGTGTAAATGCCCATGTACGTCGACCTTAAGACCCTGAACAACACCTGGGTGGCGGTTTCGGCGTCGATTCACGCTGAACACACAACGGTGATCGAAGGAATGTCATAAAGTAATGACTCTCTCAGGTAAAGTTTTTGATAAAAATAGCTGAAACTTTTTCGCAGTTGTAAATGATACGTTTTAGGTTAGGAAATATTTTATTTGTTATTTTCCACGTTTTGAAACTCACAAGGAAAATTCAAAATGGCTGTCCTTGAGAATTGCGTCAAAAACAAAGGAGTGATGGAATTTCTGGTTGCTGAAAGGGAAACCCTGTGAACATACACAGAGGATTGCAAGATGTTTTTGAGGGCAGTACCTTAGATTATAGCAATGTATGCAGATGAGTTCGTCGTTTGAAAGAAAATGTAGGAATTGTGAGTGTAGCGGATAAACCCCGTGCTGACCATTTGTCCGCTTTTGTGAATCCTGTCAATAACGCAAAAGCAGATGCTCTGATCAGAAAAGACAGGCACATAAATATTGATGAGTTGGCAGAAAACTTTGCAGTGACCCATGGAAGTGCTTACAATATTGTCGAATCACTTGGTTTTTCAAAAGTGTGTGCCCGTTGGGTACCGAGAGAGCTGACAACCGAACACAAGACTGACAACGTCGATGCCTGCGCTGAACTAGAAATCAAGCAGAGATAACGCATTCTTTCGAAGGTTCGTAACAGGTGATGAAACGAGTTCATTAGTATGAACCTGAATCAAGGAGTCGGTCAATGGATTGACGTCGCTCTATGTCAGCGCAATCAAAAAGTTCAAGCCACAAAAGTCAGCTGAAGATCATGGGGACTATATTTTGGGATGCTGATGCCATTCTGATTATTCTTTTGCCAAGAGGAGAAACAATCAACTCTGAGGTCTACATTGAGACCCTGGCGAGTCTCGGATCAAGAATCCCACGAGTGAGACCCAACTTGTCAATCGACGTCCTTCTTCTGAACGACAATGCTCAACCACACACAAGGGAAACCAACGTCTCATTTGGGTGGACAACTTTATCAGAGCATCCATACTCCCCAGATTTAGCCTCTTCAGATTATCATCTCTCTGATTCGAGGAAAGAGGGTTTGAATGGCAAACACAATTCCAGTGAAGAAGCGGCTCGAAGAACAGTCAAAAGAAGTTTACAAGGCAGGGATACATACTCACATTCAAAGGTGAAACATTGCTATTGAGAGAAACGGTGAGTATGTTGAGAGGCAGGGATGTGATCCATAAAAAACCAGATTCATCCCGATGTATGATACATGTTCTTGTGTCGATAACCATACATGTCCTAAAGATGGCTTAACTTTCTGACACAGTCTCGTATGCGCTCGCCATAAGCATCATATTGGAAGAACTGTTTTCCAACACAAAGGTTCACATTGTGTAACCTGTCGCCGACCAAACTGCTCGATGACCTGGACCCAAATGGGTTATGTTTCAATCAGTTACAAATGGCGCACATCAGTTCAAAACTGTCGGTCAAATTTGAGCCCGTGCCTTGATTGCGACCATGCCCTAGTGCGCACATGCTTGGCGCTCACTAGTTCCGTTTAAAGGAAAGTACTTACATATAAACTTCACACTTGTAACTTGAGCTCGCAGTCGGCAGTTCAACAATATCGTGAGGTACTGGTCCGTCAAATGCAAATGACGAATGAAGTTGATAAGCCGAACACTGTAATAGTCTGAAGTGTGCCATAAAGAATGTCGCTGACGTCTGCAGTACGCCCAATTTGAGGAGTCCGAACAGCTAGTGGATCTCTGAGCCATCGATTAAACTAGTGGAAGCAGGGGAATATATGACAATGGGTACTCGGCCGGTGGCCGGACAAGGGCTTGTCGACAAAGCAGGAAGGATGCTCCGCGTTCACATGTGAGTTGAAACTAAAAGGTAAAAGCCTATCAAAACAAGGTGGGGAGGGACGAGAATTGGGGGGTTGAAAACAGGGGGGGATAAAAGTGAAGCTGGAACGGGACGATAAGGGTGAAAAGGTGTAAGAGGGGGAATAAGAAGACGGGAAGGCTTGAGCAGTAGCATCCAAACCCCTATATACCCTGCTCGATGCAGCAGATAGGGCGCCAGATAGTATCCTCTGCCACGGCCAGAGCATCAAGAGATGGTTAGAAAAAAAGGTCATGATGTATTGCGTGGGCAGGATACTGTCAAGTTGCCCACATCTAGACAGAAGAACGATTAAGGTTTTCAACCAGTTTTTGGTTCAAAAACCTTACCGCAAGGCAGCGGGCTTGGCAGTGGACTACAAAGTGTCCGTTTTAACGAAAAAGGAGCCACCCTCATTTCAAGCCCCAACCTGGAAGACCAGGAGGCTGAGTTTGTCTGGCCTCTAAGCATTCATCAATCTGGTATGAGTGGCTCTGAAGGTGCAAAAACAGCATCACCCAGCATAGCTCAATGGATCGCAGAGGCGCATTACGGTAAGGTCCAGCATCACTGCGACCGGGGTATAGATGAGATGGTAGAAGAGGAAGGGAGGCCAACCGGCGACGTGGTCAAGAGGAATGAAGGCTCTTAGTTCAACGTTGGCCTCGATTGGAGCCTTCCGGCTCGCTTGCTTGGGGCCCGAAATATGAAGAACACGTTTGGTTGGATACACTTGTTGACATGTCTAAAAGTCGACCTAAATGGAGTTCGTGTTGTGAGTTTCTTTTTACCTCCCCCCTAAACGATATCATTTCTGACGCAGAATACGACTAGTTTTTGCGGTATAATAGACGGCTGGTAGTTTTCCAGAACGATGTTCATTCGTTATTGGTGGCTCAGTTGGCGTACCTGTGTTGTGCCTTTTTCCTTTATGTTGTATTGCGGCACAATAACTAAGGCGTTTCGCCCGTCTAGCTAACGTGTATAATGGATGAATGATGCCCGTTGACGGGCTTCCTCGGCGTGAAATATACGCCGTCGCTGCACCAAGCTGGCCGAAACCACAAGGCGGCTAATCGATGACGTGGCATATGGGCATGAAGAACTTGGCTAAGGGACTTGGTCAGGATTGTACATGCCCCAGAATGATCCACCCCAGTGATTGCTGAGTCTATCTGAAATGGCGCAATTAGCGGCATT